AATATTATTCTATCAGGAGTAATATTATTCTATGAGGAGTAATAATATTCTATCAGGAGTAATAATATTCTATCAGGAGTAATAATATTCTATCAGGAGTAATAATATTCTATCAGGAGTAATGCTATTCTATCAGGAGTAATAATATTCTATCAGGAGTGAATAATAATCTATTATTCAATCCTGCTACTATGAATACTCAATTGTCGACTCAATAGTTCCTATTCCCTTCCTAGCTGGTTACGCGGCTCCTTTTCCGCACTCCCAGGCTACACTGTGCGATTCCCTGCCCCCCCACCTTGTTCCCACCCTGCTTCGCCCTACCCAGCATCTTCATGTTCTACCAAGTTTAAGATTTCTTATAATTCATCGCCCACCCTCTCCGCGACATCACTTGCTCTAGCAAAGCCAGAATCACTTAGCCCCACCCAAGCCTTCACTCACACCACCTCGCTCAAAGTTATCCTGACCCATTTGAGGCCACCTCAACCTGGTCTCAACTGCTATCCTTCGCCCACGCATTCACTCACACCACCTCGCTCAAAGTTACCCCCCCCCCATCCCAGGCCACCGCACCCTGGTCTCCACTGCTATCCTTCGCCCACGCCACTCCATGCTCTGGGCCGCCCGTCGTTTTCTGCATCACCACGTACCGCTCCCCTAACCCGCCATCCTGGCACATCAACAGCCCACGCGGACCGCTCCCCTTCCCCCTCTGTATAGCCCTGTGAAACACTCATATATATTTAATGTGTTAAGCCCTGTGAAAGTATCCTGCCGGAATAATCCTTTACCCGATCTCGCTGCTCGTTTTTTTCGCTGCGTGCCCTGGCGCACGATCAATGCTGTCGCGGATAACCATAACAACGGCAGAAGCTAACAAACTAGACGTGTTATTATTCCGGCCGCAGACGCCAGCTATATACGTCAAGCTACTGACGATGGTCACGCGCTAGAGACAGCCGTGCTGCGGGAGGAGGACATTCAATAAACTCACCACCGCGAGCACGCTGAGATTTGCTCCAGTTTACTTACAGCACGCCGTTAAGTCTTTGATTCATACGTGATACGCTGGGTGCTGGGAGGCAGAGATATGCTACCCTGTTTATCCGTGGCTGCGCGCGGCCACAGCTACATTGTTTATATGCGGCTCTCCTCTGTCCTATAGCTGCCCTGTTTCTATGTTACTAATAATACTATAATACTACTACTAATAGGGTACTATAATAGTTACCTGGTTGTATGTTACTAATAATACTATAATACTACTACTAAAGAGTGTAACCCTATAGTATTTAACACTTTACATACCATATGTTCCACATTTAAATCTATACTTCTAGCATGCATTATAGAGTGTAACCCTATAACATCTAAAATAGGCATAAAGTATTTGCACATACTCACGTTTCGAGTAGTGGTAATGCACAATTTTCCGATAACTCTATCCTCTCTTTCCGCTGTGTATAACATTATGGCTGTATTATGACGATAACAATGAGGAGCGGCGTGGTATATGATATTCGCTACTGTACAACCACTACTACTAAACTATTTCGATTATGAATGCTACGAATTAGTATACGAAATAAAAGCAAACCAGTTATGACTGTCCGTGATAACAAAGGGCAAACCTATTTTAGATTATTAATGCTATGACTTTACACCTTGTCAACGTATGTACCTCGCCAGTACACACATCCGACTGAAGTCATCGACGAGTGACTTTCACGATTTCCTTGCCTGAGGAACCAAGCGTTCGCATAATCTTTGCATATCTGTCCAGTAATTCACTATTCAATTCGGTATTAGACATTGGGTTGTAACTGCTTCCTACACGAGGTATAACTATCATTGAAAGATATTCCAAACTGCTCTGAATAGATAGAACACGAGTCAGATTAGGCATGTGCTTTGTTCGCTCTGCGGGGAAATAAGTATAGACTGACACTGACTTTATTATTATTATTAATATTTTAATGACTAGTATTTTAGTTGCACAACATTAGAACAACGTCTATCCTTCATTCTTCCGCTCATATTCGATTGTAATGTAAACAGCGAAGTTCGTTAAAGAAGTTTACTTCATTCAATTACTTCTTTTAGAACGAACTGGAAGAGATTATTCGACGTCCTACTCGTGTTAGGTGCTTACATCGTTCACTGCGCAGTTCACCCAGTGTCGGCACGTAAGTACTGCACACTATTCACACACACACACACACACACACACACACACACACACACACAC